AGGCAGACGCTCGCCGCCCAAGAAGCAAAAGGCGGTTTAAGCAGCAACGGCAACAACGCCAAAGGCAACGCCGATTAAAAAATGACTTGATACTTCTATAGTTTGTCTATACTGTCAGATATATCCCAAACAGAATACGTAAGACAGCTTCAAAGTTCGAAAAAAAAATTTAAATATTGACCGTCATATAGTTCACGTTCTGTCGAATATGCGGAATATGGCTATTTCACGTTGTTTTGTGACCTTTTGTAAACAACGGCAAAAAATGAACAATGAATTATAACGCACGCTTACACAGCCATTGTACCCGTTGCCGTTGCCGTTGCCGTTGCCGTTGCCGTTAAAGTTCAGCTTAATTTAAACTCCCTAAAACCGAATAAACCGCAAAATAATGAACAGGCAAACGAGCACAAAACAAACGAAATCCCGGCCGAGCGAAAAGGCGGCTGATAGTACAGAAAACATTTCTGGTATGAAACGAAATCAAAACATATGAAATGACGTTCCCACCATTTGGTGTCAGGTAGTTTCGAGAAGAAAGTCGCTTCGGCTGTCCACGCATTGCGCGAGTAACATCCTCGGAAAAACTGGGTACCATGTCTAAAAATAACTTAAGAGGGATTACTTTGGGTAGAAGGCCTATATGGGGGACTCACTCTCTTACCTTGATTATCTCTTGTTGCTATCAATCAATAATTATGTTCATAGGTTAACACTTTCCTGCTCGGTAAGTGGAGGAAAAGGCAAAATTTTAATTTCGGTATTGGGACAAGAAAGATAAAATGTTCATCATGTCACCATCGAACGTGAAACAAAGAAAAAATGTCGAGTGTCCGAGGATACTTGAACCGAAGCAATTTCTAGAGCGTATCGTATTGTGAGAAATGAAGAAAGATGGAACATTTTAGGCTCGGTGGTGAAATGAGAAAGATGTACTCTCCATTATGTCACAAGTATGGGAAAAGAAAAAAGCTCTGTTTTAAATAAAAATATTCTGAAACTACAGCTGCTGCGTTCCGTTCATTTAGCAAACGCGGAATTAGAAGGCCATAGGCGTACACATAACGTTTTTAAAAGCAGTTCTTTCCGTTAGGCTAGGTAGATCTTCTAAAGATAAGTGAAATCCTTTCCTTGTTATTGACTGGAGGTCGTTCACCTTATGTGGCACCCTTTATTTCCACAGTAATACCTCCAGAGATTACTGTGCGAGGACGTTTGGCTTTGGAGGCCTACAAAAGGGCCCTTGCTGAAGGAAAGACTTGTGACAAAAGAGTGCCAGTCATGTTAATTGGACAAG